TTCTTCGTGCCTCAATAGATGCAAACATTTTCAAAATACTAAATATGCATTTTGATTGCAGTTGCATTCCTGTTCGTGATTTTGATTATGTGTACAACTATCTACTGTACACGAATGTTAGCTTTGTAGATTGGTAAGTATGCCCTTGTTTTCTCGCTCTCTTCCTTTCGGTGGCTAATATTTTTGTAGCCACAATCTTCATCATCAAATGTGTAATAATCAACTGAAGCTTGTGAATGGATAGTTTGAAAAAACTCAGCTTAAACTTAAGAGGATCTGACTACTGATTTTTTATTTCTCATCATATACAATAATTTTCTAATAGTATTGTAGCGTTTCGGTTGTACAACATAATGACATGCACAAAAGAACAGGAAACACACTATTTATAACATAGATCAATAAAAAACTATTATAAATAAATGGTTGAGATCTATGCATTTGGACAACATCATATTTAACCTACCACTTATTTTACTAGCACTAGTATTTAATATGGCCTTTGATTATAATTAAATGTGACATATAAGAATTGTTGTTGTTTCTGCAGCTTTGAGGATCCTGGTCCACATGGAAGTGGAAGGTATATTGAATATATGTTACCTGAAGTCGAGAAGAACGATTTCCGAAAGGGTTCACAGGTGTGCTTTATATGTCAAAATCTGCAGCATTTTTGCGAATTTTAAATTATTCTCAAGTTTATATAGGATCAACAAAGAGGAAATAAGCCATCTTATTTATCACACGGTCTTTTATCTTTTTATATATTTTAAGGAGGAGAACATCTTTCAAACTTATCTTGTACTTATCATGCACTACTGTGATTGGATAAATATTTTGAAAATATCTTGTTTCTTTAGATAATAATAATAAAACTAGTACAGAGCATGTCCGATGCATGGATGTTAGGGGGAATAATAATAAATTATAAATTAAAGTAGTGAAGAAATATTGATTTGTATAAAAATACTTTTGAATATAATTATTAATTTGATCATTTTCGTCTATTTATTTTTATGATATGTAATAGTTTAATAAATAATTTATATGTATATTCTTACTCGTTATAAAATAGCTGTCATTTTATAGTAACATTATCAGTAGATAATACTCACACAAAGACTTCTGTTTCTTACCTTAGGGCGTGCTTAGATATAAATTTTTTCAATCCATACTCAAAATCTAATTCAACTTTAACCCAACCCACTATCGTCAATAATATCTATATAATTAATTAATATCAATCAATCATTCTTACATATCACATCAACTTTAATTCACTTTTCATCCACTCACATAATTCTAACTAACTATTACTTTAAATCATCTCTCTCCTACTTTTACATCAAATCAACTTTAATTATTTTATTTTTATTTTTTTAATATAAACTCAAAATTCTACTTACAATTAACCATACCATATTTTTTTTTAAATTAACCATGGTTAACAAAAAAACTCGTTTTGAGCGGATATATTTCTATCCAAGCACGCCATTACTCATACATCATCACAATTTTTATTATATATTATAAATATTTTAATTTTCTTTCTAATCTTATAATTTACACGACAATTCAACAAATCACTCGTTTGCTTATCATAATTTTATAACAATACATATTATAATTATTTTGATTTTTATAATCTAATAATTTACATGGTAGCTCGACAAATGGACTGTTGGTTTATCATTTTAATATCTTATATACTAAAGTTTTGAAATAATTATTTACATGTATTTTTATTTTTTAGCATTAATTTTTTTAACCCATGAAGGATAAACACACCTGTTACTATTTTAACTTATGTTTTACAAAATATATACAGTTATATTTTATTGTATGAATGACTTGAGAGTACTTCCTCAATTGTAAATTAGAATTTTAAATAATAAATTTAAGTTTAGTTTGTATATGTAATTAGTTATATGCAATACTAATTAATAAACATACTAATACTTATAAATAGTTATTTTTTCTTTATGCATACAATATGATTGTCAAATCAAAAATAACAAAATGAAGGTTAATTTAATATTATATATAAAAATAGATAACAAATAAGAATGTTATTATTAAGTTTTAAAAAGAAAATGACACTAAAACGTAATAAGAAAAGTAGACAACGATATAGAAACTAATGAGGAAAAAAATCTTGGCGTTTGAAGAAATATTTTAAATGTCATATTTTTTAATATATAACTAATTATCCTTGAGTGATTAATTTATTACTATATCCGTTAGTTTATAATTTCAAATTAAATAAATTCAATTTTAGATAAAAATGAAATAATGGACTGTGGGTTTTTGGAAAGTTTATTAAGTTATTGATATCACATCATTTAAAATAAAATAACAATAGATTAAGTAGAAATAAAATAACTGATTTTAATCAATAGATTTAGATCAATTATTCATATCGCATTACCAAAAATAAAAGTAGAAGTCTCACCATGAATGATAAAGAAAAAATTGGCAAAAGGAAATAATAAATATAAAAAAAATATTAAAAATACTTTTGCCAAAAGGAAATAATAAAAATAAAAAATAAATTAAAAAAACTTTCCTTACTAAGCAGCTAATATTTTTTTGGTGGAAAAGTATTACTTTTTATAGTAAATACACACATTTATATATATACTAGCGCGTAGCCCATGCGATGTACGGGATAATATATTTTTCTGGAATGTTTAACATGTGAAATATTAAAATTATTATAATTTATATATATGTAACAAAAATAAATGGATCGAAAAGAAGGTAAACAAAATTATAAATTATTGAATACTTTCTTGTACACAACATTTTTAGTTTGGGATAATGATTGTCCATATTGTTTACAGTCATTGCATAAGAAACCATAACGTCATGGTTTCATAACTATCTTGTAAAACATTACATCTATATATCATGAAATAAATGTTGTATAATAAATATACACCAAATAAATATATATCGGTTGAATAAAATATTTACTAGAGAACCGGTCAACACCAGTAACTGTACGATTTTTTAAATAATTTTTGTTACATTTAAAACTATTTTTAATATAAGTAAAAATACATATTTAAATAAAGTGGACATTTATAAATTATTTATCATTTACTTAAACATTAGAAAATTTTAAATTGTTCATATATTTAATTAATATTTTTTAATAATTTTATTATAAAAAGTATTGATATATATATATATATATTAAAATATAAATAATTTTAATTTTGATGCAACTAATAGATCATTGAATAAATAACTTGATCGTTTTGAAAATGATTCTCTCTTGAGAACTTTGAATTTACCGTACATTAATAAAGTTGTAATGCAACATCATTTTGTTCACATAAATAATAAAATAAAATATAAACATTCTTAATATGATTATTTGGAGTATGAACTACATTACATTTATTTTAATAATGTATTATTAATATTAAAAATTATATTTAGTTCAATAATGGATTTGGTCTTGTCAAACTGACCCATAACTTGGTCACTTAGGATCAACCTCAATTGTGTCATTGACCCATAACTCAATCACCCGGGATCGATTTAGTGTATATCTGCTCAATTTTTTAGAACATTTGATATCAAATGAGTATAGCATTCATTTATATAAGTGAATATAAATTTCCTATACTATATAGATCATTTGCACGAATGATTTATATCCATTTCTAGATTAGTTAAAAAAGCATTTGATATTTATTTGTTTATCAAATAAAGTATATCAATGCTATAAGTACTTTAAGATTCGATATGCACATTGTTTATTAGTTAAGAATTTTTATGTATTGCTTGTAAATTTACATATTTAATTATACATATGCATATTTAGGACTCTACACGTTTAAAATCATATTTCAAAAGATTCAAAATTATTTAATTAAACCAGAAAGTCCAATTATATATTAATTACATAATTGAGAGCAATTATTAATTAGGACAATTTTTGTAAAGAATATTTCAATGCAATTTTCGATTAGCAAAATCGCACATAGCAAAATCTATATAGAAATTAAATAAATAATATTTCTATTAAAATCAGATTTTTAAATAATATCTTCTTAAAAAGTGAGATTTAAAAAAATTATATATATTTTTCTTAATCGAAAATGAATATTGATTTCGTAAAAAAGATTAAGAAAGACAATTGTGAACTCTCGATAAACATAAAATTAAATCTCTAAACAATATTATATGCCAGAATTTATTCCAAATAAAAATATCAGTCACAAATATATTTAAATTTTCAAAGTAGATTTACTTCCAAAGGGCATGCCAATAAAATAGGGAAATCTCGACTTATTTTCAAAACAGATTTATTTACATGCGTTAACTGTATAACAAATGTAAAGTTTGAATTTTGAACTGATTTTCTATAAGTGGTAAGTCAAAGGATTTGACTCAAGCTTTTTATCAACTTTCCACAGATGATTTATTTACCATCCTCTTTCAATATATATATATATATATATATATATATAGGAAAAAATGGTCCAAGATTGAAATTCTTTTAAAATAGTGAATTGATATAAGATAATTTTGTAATAATTATAGTCGATATATAAAAATACAAAAATGATTGGCAGTCAACAATATATGAGTGGATGAATAATGAATTTTGTTGGAAATTGTTTAGCGTGGGAATATATTTGTTTGACAAAATGCAACCGGTAATATCCAATTGTACCCTAGGCCCTAGTTATTTATTCGCTGGTTGTTTCCATTTGTTGCCTCTTCCCTTAGACCATTTGTATTTAAATTAGTCTAAGATTTTTGTCAATACAACTTTTTTATGTTCATGTTGTGAGAAAGCTCTTTATTATAATTATGCAGTGGTTTACAATGAAGCGGCAGCATGCTATTATAATCATGGCTGATGGTCTATACTACTCAAAATTCAGGGACTATTGCAAGGTTATCAGATTTTTATCTCGACCTACATTCTTAGAAATATTTGGCTTCATTCCATTTCATAGTTCTTATTTACCTTTATTACTACATATTTGTAGGCTTCATCAGTTGAGGTCCTAGCCACATTTGTGGTTTTATGTTCTCTACATTGAGAAAGTCTACGAACTTTATACTCCTTCGAATATGCACTTAATAACAAATCATATAGATATTGTGAATAACTCTGTATGTGCTTCTATTTTCCTTTTCCCATATTATTAGTATACCGTTATCTCAATCAATTTGACTAAGAACAAAGTATCATTTTTATTTCTTTATTTAATTATTTAGCAGTTATATAAAACTAGATTATGCATTGTTTGACTCTTGCAGTGTACAATATGTATGATCGATGAAAACTGAAATTCATGACTGAATGTTCCTATTTCCATTTGCAAACCAATTACTTTTACTGAGGCTCATTATGTGTATATCTAATTGAACAGCCAGGCATGGAAGGACGCAACTGCTACTCTGATGAGCACTATCTGCCCACCTTTTTTTATGTAAGATTTTTTTTTTTTTTTTTTTTTTTTTTTTTTTTTTAACCTTATCTATCTGGATTACTAGGAAGCCTTTCCTTTTCTCCTGTCTGTATGATGTTGTAATATTTGTTATATATAATTGAGCCTCACCTTTTTCAGATGCTTGATCCAGCTGGAATAGCTAATTGGTCTGTAACACATGTTGACTGGTCTGAAATGAAGTGGCATCCAAAGTCATACCAAGCGCAGGTTGTAACTTTAGAGCTGATTAAAAATATTACAGTATGTCAATTAGATTTTACACCAACTCAATATTTATGTTGTCCTCTGAAATGCAAATTCGCCTTTCTAGTTTGTGTACGAGCATGAAATATATGGAAAATTCATTTAAAAAATGTTACCTAACAGCCACTGGTGTAGATTTAAATTGCATGAATTATTGAATCAAATTTTTTTATGTGATGCTGCAATGTTTTGTGAATTAGTTTCCTAACAGCCATTAACTTCCAATGACTTTTGCAGTCTATTAGAGAGAGCATGCATGTTACCAGTGATGAAAGGGTTAGTATTGTTTTGTCTTACTCTGTTACAGTTCTAAAAATGTATTAGTATTCTTATGAAAATTACTTTTTCTTTTTCTTTCACTGTAGAGAGATATTCAGATTCGACGTTGCTTGTGGAATGGAAATGAAAGACCATGTTATTTGTTCGCCAGGAAATATTTGCCAGAAACTCTGGATACTTTGCTGCATCTTTTCCCGAATTACACATCTATTTGAGTGGTTTTGTTTAGGACAGTGTTTATTCTTTGGTCGATTCAGAAGTTGCAGTCGATCCCATTTAGTGTAGCTTCTAATTTTGCAAGCACATCCGGGTTCTCATAGGATCAGGGCAGCAGTTTTCTATGCTAGCCTTCTTTATATTCAGTTGTGATTATTAGGTCCAACAAATATGTATTTTCTTAGTCTTTTGAATTCATTTTTTTTTTTTTACCAACGAGTAAATGACTAATCGACTGCTTCTTTCGAGATGCTAAGAATACACGTGCATGCACGTGGTGGAATGTTAATCGGCCAATAATTTCTTCAATAAGTGGAGATAGATATTTAATTGTGTCTCTTATCTTTACACCATTGAGCATAGTATTTAAAATATGAAATATTTTCATTTTTTTTATAAATATTAATTACTATATAGATTTCAATTGTGTTAGGAACAATGCTGTTATGCTTGTTAGATACGAGATTGTTAAAGATCCAACACGTTCACTTTGCATGATGATACGTTTTTGCCATCCTCATCAATATAAATCCGCATCTTGCTCCATCATCATATGTCACAACCAACCACATACAAAAGTTGCACCGATGACCACGAATTCCATCAATTCACTCCAAACATTCTGTTGCATTCTAGCTTCCATGTTTCTTGCTCTCGAGGCCCGACGTTATTCTTTCCCAACAACAACGGCCGTGATTAACCCCTCAAACAATACGACTAAACTCATCCTTCCACTCATCCACCGTCATGCTATTTTACGCCCATTCCCAAACACCACCACCTCAAATTCTACAAATCACGCAAACTACAACAACTCATTGTCCCGCGACATCGACGTCAGGAGCCTTCTAATTCCAGACCAAGAAGCCATGGGTTTCCTTGTAAACATATCGATAGGCGAGCCCTCGGTTCCTCAGCTCCTGGCCTTGGACTCAGGAAGTTCCCTAACATGGGTGCAGCCCCTCATGTGCAGGGGTTGCACCCCAGCCCAAGGCCCCATCTACGACCCTGGGGCCTCCTCCACGTACAAACCCCTCTCGTGCGCCTCCTTATACCAATGCATACAACACTCCGAATTCTCCAACTGCCGCAAGGACTCCCGGTGCACCTACTCCGTGGATTACCTGGATACCTCCCACTCGACCGGCGTTCTCGCCCTCGAGAAGTTCACGTTCGTCACCTCCGAGGGGGGCACATCCGTAATTTCGGACCTCGCGTTCGGGTACGGGCATGAAAGCACCGGAAACCTGCAACGCGTGAGCGGGATCCTCGGCCTCCAAGTCCTGAACGAGCACTCGCTCGTGTCCCGACTGGGCAACAGGTTCTCGTACTGCCTCGGTAACATTAGCGACCCCAATTACCCATACAGCCGTCTGGCACTCGGCTCGGGTGCTGTAATCGAAGGTTTCTCGACCCCACTGAGATTTTTGCAGGATGGCTACGTGGTGAGCTTGAGGGGGATCAGCATGGGCGGGAAAAATCTAGATATATTTAAGGAGAATGGCTTTGAGTATCAGATGCTGGTTGACACCGGGTCTACATTGATTAGTCTGGAGAGGGGTGCGTATGAGGAGGTGAGTGGAGCGGTTGGGGAGTTGTTGGACGAGCGGTTGAGCCGTTTTGGCACAGACAGGTTGTGTTATTTGGGTGATTTGAGACGGGATCTCGAGGGTTTCCCGCTCGTGACTCTGCTGCTAGAGGAGGGGGCCGAGGTTTATCTTGGAGTGGAGAGTATTTTCCGGCGAGAGAATGATGAGGTGTTTTGCCTGGCCATGAAAGTTGCTATATCGGGGAATAATATAATTGGGGCGTATGCTCAGCAATATTATAATGTTGGGTTTGATTTGGATGCAAAGAGGGTTACCTTCATGAGCACCGAGTGTGAGCTGCTTGATGACTGAGTTGTATTGCTATCATCACTTGCACTTCCTCCTATTTGGCTTTATCAACCATTAACCAAATAAATGACGTTTTGAATCTTTTTCACGTATTTTTCTATTATTACCTTCGTTTTGTTAATAAATACACTACGTCTTTTCCTATCCACTCTTAATTTTCACGTTATTAATTTTCATTAGAGAGGTTATTATTAGAAAAAAAAAAAGATTCTTAATTATTGTGCAACTTCCAATTTAGTCTACGAATGTATGTTTTTGATACTTTGTAGCTTTGTGAGTGGCAATTGATTTTTGGGAGCTTTCTTTAAAAATCTCTAATCCTAATTGTAACTTTCAAGTCAGTCCATAGTGAAAATTCCTATCTATTTACTCCCTACTCTCATATTCATCTTCCATTTAAATCCCTTCTATTAAAATAAATGACAAAGAAATTGATTTGTGACAACATCCACACTTACACATTATTTTACTATTTTTCTTTATCTAAAAATCTGATTTTGAATGGCTTCTTCTTCACTTCTCCCCTAACTCGTTTCCCTCCTTTTTTTTCTTCATCTTCTTGCCGCCGGCCACTTTTTATTTTTTATTTTTTTGCAGCTTCATCTCGCCGGCGACACCAAATTCGGCAAGAAGAACACCGGAGGCAACAATTCCGGCGACATCGGGGCTTTTTCCGGCCAAAAGTTTTTGTTCTCTGTCCGAAAATTCTTTTATTTATTTATTTTTTTTTTTCCGGCAACATTGGCTTTTTCTGGCAAAAACTTGAAGTAATAAGTAATGTATGTATTATATGAGAAGTTTGGAGTCCAAAAATCATCTTTAATTCATATATTATTGTTTGATTTGTGAAGGATCGATTTTTGAATATTGTTGTTTATATTTACCCTAAAACAAAGAAAGTGATCATAATCGTTTTTTTTTTGTTCATGTATACTAAATTTATGCTATTGTTAGGTGTTATTGACCATAAAACAAAAATATAAGATGAGAATAATTATAGTACCACTATTCATGATTGTGTGTACCTCTGTTTGGATATATAATACCACTTTTCTCACTGTTGGTACCATCTGTGCTGGGAAATGTGAACATTTTTTTTTAATCCAATTATTGTTAGATACATGGAAGGGGCACAAAAATTCTTATCTCTCTGTCCGAAAATTCTTATTTTTCCGGCAAGATTGTGACTTTTTCCGGCGAAAACTTGAAGTAGTAAATAATGTATGTATTATATGAGAAGTTTGGAGTCTAAAAACCATCTTTAATTCATATATTTTTGTTTGATTTATGAAGGATTGAATTTTGAATTTTGTTAGTTATATTTACCCTAAAACAAATAAAGTGATCACAATCCTTTTTTTTTTGTTCATGTATAATAATTTATGCTATTGTTAGGTTATGTCAGGTGTTATTGACCATAAAACAAAAAAATAAGATGAGAATAATCATAGTACAACTATTCATGATTGTGTGTACCTTTGTTTGGATATATAATACCACTTTGCTCACTGTTGGTACCATATGTGCTGGGAATGTGAACTTTTTTTTTTTTTAATCCAATTATTGTTAGATACATGGAAGGGGCACAAAGTGATATATTAGGGAGTTGTACATACAAAGATGAAATGTATGTGTTCTCTCTGAACCTTGAATGAACTCTTGACGAAGTGTACACTCTCATTGGTAAGAGGTGGCCGGTTGTTAGTTTGGAAATCGTCACGTTAAACTATATTGCGCCAAAGGAAAAAAAGAGAATTAGTTTATCCGATGACGAGGATGTAAAAAACATGACTCGGTTACATCATTGTTGGAAAGTAAATATTGTGGTGATAGTTGCCATTGAAAGAAATGAAAGCCCGGGCATTGGAAGAAATGAAAGACGGGATAATGGAGTTCAATCTATGCCGATGAACATGAGCGGGTAATGTTGCTTTCATAATATTAATGAATTTATTATTGGTATATGGTGTATTTGTACCATCATATCCAAATTAATTCTTAACTAGTTTCATTATTTATAAAAATTTGTATTGTTTTATCATGGACGCAGGGAAATGTTACGGGAAGGAGAATTGGAGTTAATAGTGCAAGATAAATCGATCGATTCTTGGAGATTCTCCATCAAAGGAGAGGGGCAGATGTTCAGTGAGGCGCGAATGAATTTCGGAAGGTTGTTAAAAACTACAAATTGCGAATAGGCGTTCTTTCAAGTACCGAAAAAATGACCAACAGAAGATCATTGTTTGTTGTATTGATGAGGGTTGTCAATGGAGAATATATGCCTCAAAATACAAAGGTGATCAGGTCTTTGCCATCCGGAAGAGCAATTTAGTCCATACCTGTGGAGTGTCCAATCTTCGGACAAGGGGGCATCCGAAAGCAGACTCTCATTGGGTCTCGAATGCAATTAAAGAGAAATTGAGAATTGAACCGAGCTACAGGCCATGCACGATATTGAAAGATCTTCATAGGGATTATGGCTTGGAGTTGCCTTATAGAAAGGCATGGTTAGGGAAGGATATTGCCATGCAAGATATTCATGGAGCAGACAATGGCTCTTATGATAAATTGAGATGGTATTGTACTAAAGTGCGTGAGACAAACCCGGAAAGCATTGCCGATTGTGAGCTTGACCCTGTCCAGAATAAGTTCCGCCGATTGTTCATTTGCTTTCATGCTTGTCTTGTTGGTTTTATAACCGGTTGTTGACCGTTGATATTTTTGGGTGGCACTCACATAAAAAATAAATTCAAAGGCATTTTGCTTAGTGCTATGAGTAATGATGATTTGTTCACTTTAGCATATGCTGTGGTTGATGCTGAGACCGATGAAAATTGAGAGTGGTTTTGCGTGAAGCTGAATAATACTCTTCTTACCTCGGGCTTACCTTTTCCTAGAAGCTTCACGTTTTTTACGGACCGACACACCGAGCTTCTTATAGCCATCCCTATGGTCTTTCCTGGCAGCTATAATGTTTATTGTTTGCGAAACTTAGTCGACAACTTTATAAAAAACTTAATTAGTCTGTTTATATTTATATTTAATTTATCACTAATTATTCATAATAAAGCAGGTTTTGATATTCTTTTGATTTCTACCTTTTTTATTTTTAAATGTTGATTCTTGTGGTGTATTGTTGTTAATATTGATGTTTTGGTTGTTTGGTCTTTCAATGTATGAGTGTGGTTTATTGTTTGGTACCTTTTTTTTTTTGTTGACCATGAGTAAGTGTATAAACCATCATTCCTTTTCATTTTGTTTATTATTTTTTTTGTAGGTTTTGAAGAGCTACCCACTTAATAATAAGAAACATTGGTCCTCGATTTTTAGAAAAGCTGCGTATGCTCCTACGAGGCAAGAATTTGATATGCATATAAATAATATATTGACTCATATGCCTCTTGCTCTAAGTTCCTTCAGGATTCTATCCCAAGTTGTTGGGCGAATTCTTTTTTTATCGGAGACCGTTGGGGGATCATGAATAATAATCAAGTCGAATGTTGGAATAATTGGGTGAGGGCGGCACGATTTATGCCTATCGTAGCGATGGTCGATCACATATGGAAGCAAATATTACCATGATGCACGATCGACGTGAAGGAGGGTCACGATTTAATGGCCCGTTGTGTCCGAAGCTCGAAAAAATAATTTCATCTCGCTACAATGCCTCCCGGAGTCTCAAAATCATGCAATCAAGTGAATAGAGGTTTGAGGTTGTTGATGCGGACAAAAGTTGTGACGTGGATTTGCAAACTCGCACTTGTTCTTGTAGAGAATGACAACTATCTAAGATGCCATGTCACCATGCATGTGCTTGTGTTGAGAGTAAGTCAATATCCATCTATGATTTTTGTGATCCATATTATCGGGTTGGGATGTATAGACAAGCTTATCAAGGTACTATTAATCCTATACCCAACTACGATCATAATGTGGCCTCTTCCTCCATATATCATGATGATGTCATTCATGATCCGGATGTACGACCTAAGCCCGGACGCAGGAGGGAAAAAAGAATTCCTTCACAAGTTGATGTTGCGGTTAGGCAGTGCAAGCGTTGTGGTCGTCATGAACACAATCGACATACGTGCAAAGAACCTATCTAGATCACTCATGTATTTTTATTTTTGGGCATGTGTATTTTTTTTTGTTTTTTGGGCATGTGTAATTTTTTTTGTTGCCCAGGTGTATTTTGTATTTTGTCAGTTGTATTTGGTATTTTGTCGGAGAATGTCTTTTGATCAATTGGTACCAGTTATTAATGAATTAGTACCACTTATTCTTCTATTCAGCACCAGTTATTGATAAATTAGTATCTGTTTTGTAGAACGAACAAAAAAAGGGTTACTCCAAATTTGGTCAACATTTTCAAAATCAGTACCAGTCATAGAGTAAGAGAGTACATGTTTTATGTTATTATAGTACCAGATATCGGGTCACTAGTACCACTTATAATGAACACATAAAAACATCAAAATTCGATCGCAAATGATGTTTATACGATGAGATTTAAAATTCTATTAATTAAGTTTATTAAGTCAAGAAGTACAATGTAATTTTTTATAAGCCAAGGAGGTTAAGTAGGACATAATAAATTCGGTGTTTCTATGTGTTCACTACAAGTAGTACTAAAGACTCCATATGTGGTACTAAATACCCATAAACAGGTACTACCTTACAATATGACTGGTACTACTTTTTTTAAATGTTGACCAAAGTTGAAATATTCCATCTTGGTTGACCAAACGTAGATACTAATTTATCAGTATCAGGTATTGCGCAGAATAATAACAGGTACTAATTTAATGAAAATTGGTACCAGAAGTGTATTTAGTATTGTTTTTCCATTAGTGCATTGAGTTCGTGGCCAATTTCAGATTAAAGTTAATTAACCAAATTTTAAATCTCATATAAATTAGTGTAAGAGTGATTATGGGTCGTATAAACATCATTTTTGACCG